ATGTCATTCACGAAATGTGCGTTGTTCATTCAGTCTGCATAATTAAATGTTTTGAAAGCATATGACAAATATGATATCTGACTTACGGTTGATAAGAAATGAATGCGTTGTGTTCCATATATGAACTTTACACCTTGTGCGGGATGCTCTGCTTCTAAGGTTTGGTATGCCTCATTAATGAATTCTTGAGGTAGTAGCTGAAGCCATAAAGAGTATTTATGTTATCCAGTTGCTTTGATACTCAAATACTTGGTACGTATCTCTACCCCTTCACACTTTTAATATGACTGGTCTGAGATTATAATAAATGCACCTTGGGAACACTCGATTTTCAACCACATTGACAGACTATTAATTGCCACCTCGGGAACAATCTATTTTCAACAACTTCGGCCATATTTAGTATTTAGAACATGTGCTTTCAATGGCGGTTTTCAAAAAGTCTATACTCAGCTCTAGTCTTTTTTAAATTTTCGTATATTCATCAGAACTCCTACATTGAAAATTTCTACTGATATAATTTATCATATTATTATATGCAGTATCATTTAAACTTATTTTAATTGATATATATATATAAAATTCTATATATTTAAAGTTTTTTTCTACGGCCTGCGTGTTATACATATACATATAAATGTATATTCAATATAACACAATAATAGGCCAATATCAAATGTGCTCAAAATATTACGATATTTTATGGTAAAAAACATAAATTCAGGTTCTTTTATACTTTCAATTAATATTGAGTCCAAGTAAAATGACTTCGGTAATTTAGAATGATATAAAGTAAATCGGACATGACTTTATCTCAGATCAGTTTTGATAAATTGAACCAATGTTCCCTCTATGTTTTTCAACTAATCTAGATAGATTCTCTTATACATTCTGGTAAACCATATTCACTCTACTGAATAATAAAGTATGATTTATTTTGAGCACACATTAAGTATTTATTTTAAAGTAAATCAACTACTTAAAGTAAATCATATTTTGAACACATTTGTTTTGGGTTTTATATAATCCCCAGAATATACTCAACTTATTAAAAGTAATAAATCTATTATTTTTAATCAAATCCACTGTTGTTAGCACTTCTGAAGTTTTATATGTGTTAAATAACACTTATGCCTGAAATAATAACTTACTATGTTTTTTTGCTTCTATTGTATGAGGATAATCTATTTTTGCTACACGTTTTTTTGTGAACCAAGAAATGTACTGTGGTTTTTAAAATCATTTTTTTTGTGAACCTACTGTGGTTTTTAAAATCATCTGCCTTTAAAAAAATGTACATATTTCCCTTAATATACGTAGAAGTCCTCTCCTGTTATAACTTCTGACATTTTTCTAAAATTTTATGTACACAATAATTTTATGTCCCAAACATTCTTTCTTACTCTGTTTTTATTACTGAATGCAGGTGCTTTGAGGATGAATCAATTTGTTTTATAGTATTTGATGAATGTAATTTGTAGGAATTGGGGCCTTAATTTAGGTGCCCTTGTCTGTAATAATTATATTAGATTTAGGATTGCAGGTCAACAAATCTTCCCCAGGTATGTATCCCTTAACCTCCTCTTTTTGAACTGCTGTACATATTTGCATGATATCAGAAATGACCAAAACATTGAAGTAGCAAATAGTGTTTATATGCCAACCAAATCTGGACTTGATACAAATATTTTTGTTAAATCATTTTATTATTTAAAATTCTATACTGTTTTACATAGCCCCGTTTGTGATCCTATTTTTTTTTTATTTAAGACAAATTGTCATCGTATGACTATGATTTCAGTACTGAACTAATTTTCCATGTCCAGAATGTTACACTTTAACATGCCATATATTACAAATGACACTATTTGCTGCTTCATGTAGAGGTTGCACTTTCACATTCTTTCAGTTTTGCTCGTTTGGCTTCTCCTGTGATGTATTGCCCAAATGTAGTTGCGTCTAAGAATTATCCTTTCCTGCACATCATAGTCACGACCAAACAGATACCAAAAACATTTTCAAAATTATAACAAATCATAAGGTTAAGCATTATAGGTCTCAACACCAAGTTTAGCAAAATTACAGTTGTAGCACGAAGTTTAGCAAAATATAGTTAATATTACAGGCCCAAATAATAAGTTTAGCAAAATAGAGTTTTAGTAGCAGAATGATTTCTGAAAAATAGAGTTCTAGGTAGCCGGTTCCTCTGGTCACATTGTTTAGGCCTTCTCCTGCTTGACTCGGATCCTTCTCTTGTTGGTGTTGATGTTTGCTGAAAACTGATCAAGCAGGTTCCTATTTACTACATCATTCCCTCCTATCACAACTCGTTTCCCTTTTGCTGATCCAGTAGCTTCCTCCACTGACATGCCAAAATGTGTAGTGTGAAATGGTGTACAATGTGAATGGAAATGATGTTTTAATTGGCTTGTAACGATATAGTATAGAGTAAGTGAGTATCGTTCCGCTAGAGAATGGCTCAAAAAGAGAACTAGAATTAATGATTGATTTTTAGCTAATCACAATTTGATAACATTTTGAAATGGAGCTAAGTGAATAGATTTTTTTTTAACTTGTTTTTGTTAATGCGAAATTGCTAGAGAGTAAAATAAATCACAATACTTGGTAATTTAACAATTAATGATATAGAGAAAATTAGGCTTGGGCTAAGAGTAATTTTATTTTGATGTTCATAATAATAAAGATTTAACTAATTAACTTAGTTACTTTTAGATGTATGAAAGATTTACAAATGGTAATCTTCTAATCGTTCCCACGACTTAGTTGATTACACTATCTTAAATTAATTCTGCTCCCGCAGTAATTTTATTAAGACAGTAAAAAGTACAAAATCAACTTATCCTAAATTCCTTAACACTTCCGTGTAGCAATTTAGTGGGTGAATTAATAAAAAGTATTTTAATGAAATTTTACTCCCGTGATAATATTCATTTCCCAATATAATGTATTTAGCAGATTAGAATATTCAACCCAACACTCCTAAAATTAACCAAGTAATAGTTTTAACCAATTATTATCGTATGAACATTAACAATAAATTACATCTTGCCCAAACCTAAACTTAATTTAGTTACACATAATAACGGTAAATAAAATAAAAGCAAAATTCATGAAAGACATAATAAATTTAACAGATTAAGGAAATTAAAGTGAGTGTTTAAGTAAGAACCTGAAGGCATAAAATAATGAAGAACATAGATGGGCTGGAATAGAAAAGTTGAAATCCTTGTATTAAGCTGGAACTGATTGAACGAACTGATAAACCCAAATGAACTTCAATACCAAATATCACAAGCTAAAATTCTGGAACTGAGAATTATAAACTGAAATCTATACAGAAAGTGTTCTTGGCAGAATCACTTTTATTATATGGCTACTAATACTTCGTATAAACTAAAGAAAAGAGAAGAATGATTTCTATCAGAACTTGGTGTTCCTTGAAGCTCCTGGATGACTCCTTTATATAGTAGCACAAGAAGGGTATGGATCAGAATATATCTCCGAATGAAGATAAAAATCATTGAATTTGGGCGGCCACTGATTTGAATCTTGGTGTGAAAGCTTATTTCTCATTTTCTTTCTGCAAATAGCAACGGTCGTTGTCCAGTTGTGTATTTTTCTTCGTTGGAGCATGTTCTCTTCTGTTCGGCCGAGTGAAAGATGATGAACACAACTTGTAATTGCTTAGCTTGAAATTCGTAGGTCCCTCCAATAATGCAATACAATAATCACTCCTTTGCATTTCTTCTTTTGGACTTCTACGATGGAACGTTATTCACATATCTCAATGAGTGAATAGTGTTGTCAGCCAAAGGTTTGGCTCTTATCCGTCACTTATTGTTTTGGCCGGTTAGCTGTTTGATCGGTTAACTGGTCAATAGTTAACCGGTACATTTTATTGCGGACAGTTTGACTTATTTTGAAATGTATTTCGGGTCTCTTTATAAATATTTTGGAATTAAAGTAAGGACCCACTTCATTTTGATGATTTTTCCGTCTTCACTCGGGAGTAATATTTATTTCTTTTCAACCCGAATTGCCCTGAAATTGACAAAATATACCAAAACAAGTGCAATACCTTAAAATGTCCAAGATGATAAAAATCAATCCTTTTTATTTAAAAATGAGAAATAAAATATTAAAAGTGTGACAACACAAGATCATAAATATGGTAAGTTAGGAGTACATCATCCACCACTCTATCCTTGTCCTGAAAAATGGGCTGAATTAAGTTAAGCTAGTCGTTTAATTTTTTTATTTAACTGTGACTACACTCTGAAAATTTTTGAGTATCACCTTCTCCAATCCCATCTCGGCTGCTTGAACTTGAATAGGCGTAGAAGCATTCTCATCTTCTGTCACGACTGCCTATAAAAACATAATTCAAGGGTAAGTACTACTTGTCACCATCTACCTTGTTTTTCAATATAAATGACACTGTTACCTTGTCTATGGAAAGACCTTTTCTTATACCGCTGTCATTTTCTTCCTCCAAGTGATCATTAGCATCAAAACCACTCTGTCATTATTGAATAAAATCAGCAAGGCAGTGCGTCCCAAAATTTAAAAAAAATTCAAAATATTAAAACCTTTTCCTCTTCAGTTAAAATTTCCGGTCCTTTTGCTTGTTCAGATGCGTTAGCATAAAGCGCCAAAATCGTAGGGTCCCTGATCATGGCGACAACCCCATAAGAAAGAGGTCCTTGATAGGATGAACTTTCTGCTCTGGTTTTGACCTGGACTTTGAAGAGTCCCTTCTGGTCTATCAGTGCCTCGATATCCTCTGGAAAATGTTGAGCATCTCCTGTTTTCTGCAACATTTTCAAAAAATCATTTTAAACTTTCTCATGAATATATCTAGTCAACTTGGGAAAACATTATGTGTCGTTGTACCTTTTCAACTTCCTTTCTGATGGCAGCTGCTGTTTTCCCGATCACTTCAATGCATTCCTTGTCCCAAAGGGTAAAGGATGCATGTCCGGAGTCATCCATGATGCAGACGGGAACTTTATACCTTAGGGTTCCTCCTGGAAGAGATATGTTGCAATTGTTGCACCTAAACCTGTCCTCTTCGGGCTGGAGTTTTTTGTTGCACGTAGGGCAGCTTAGATAACACCACTCTCTGTAGTTGTCGATAGAAACAATATCTCCCAAAATCCAATAGGTGCCATCCTGCATTAGGCAAGAGAATGACAAAATATTAGACAACAATAATATATTTGCTGTGCGTTTGGTCTAAGGCAAGATTTAGGTACCTTTGCATCATCCAAGAATTCACTTATCCGTATGATTTTTGCATTTCCTCTCAGTACTTCTTCCATGTCGTGGCCTATGCTATTTCCAGTGAAAGTGGTCACTGTAGCTACCTCCTCATTTTCTGGTCCAAATCTGTCAAGTTAATAAGTAGAATGAGACTGGGCATTCCTAGTGGTTAGTTTATCTAACATGGTGTTCATCTGGTGCGTACTGTGCCTTGAAGTCCTCAAACTCTGTTGACGTTCCATTCATGATCAACTTAGATATGTCGTAGGAAGTAGACACCAACACCGATCCTGAATTGCCATTAAAAAATAAATAAGCATTACATGTTTTTATAGACTTATTGAAATCTGATTATTAAATAGACTACCTTGGTAACGCTTTGGTCTGCACATTTGAAGAATTATGTAAATTGCTTCATTCTTGTGCTTTGCGTAAAAGTCACAGAATTCTTTGCAGTAGTTGTTCCATAGCGTGCCTCGTATACGGTTACCCCTATATAAGACCATTCGGTTAAATCCTTTTGAAAACTAAAGCCATAAGTTAAAATTAATTAGTTAAGCACTTTTACTAACTCGGGATCCTCCAAAGTTAGTTCTATGAGACGCTCTGGCTTGCCATTTATCACATGCGTCTGTGGAGGTGTTTTTCCAACAATCTTTCCAATTACATCTGACATAGGATAACGTTTTGTTATACATTTGTTTATTATACATTTCGTAATATAATCATACCAACAGCCACTCTAAAAATTTATATTTAAAAAGGTACCTATCAACAGTTTATCGTTCACAACCCTTAGGCTCTGCAGCATGTCGAACTGATGAAAATCATACATGAAATTCGGAAAGTTTTCTGAAGGGTGGTCGAAAATTGCGGTTTTTTTAATAAATTCCAGAATATATGGGTGCGATGTAGTTTTGTACGTATAGTAATTGTCGAGCACCAAAAAGTTTTTTATCCTAAAACATTGGTTTTCCAGCATCCTCGATTTATACAGGTGCATAAGGGGTCTCTTAATCAATGCATGTATCTTTTCACCCTACATTGGTCAAAAAAAAAGCTTATAAATATAAAATCTGATGTCAACGAAAATAAATGGAAAAAACGCAAAAGCATAGTTTACCTCCTCGTCATGGAAAACAACCTCCATTCTTGGACCTCCTTTAGTTTGGGCAGACATTTCCACGGCCCTCACAACTCGAACTTTGAGTGCCCATGTTGATCTGGTATGATCAACGTCCCTGATCATTGAGTACAATGTTCTGGGAATTTCGTTAGGGTTTGTTGCCATGTTGAGTGAAGGGAGTGAATGAAGGGAGTGAAGGGTGTGTTGGTTTGAAAACATCCGTATGTCAGCTTTTATAGGCAAATGATATGTATAAGTTTGAACACCCAACTACCAGATTAATTGCTCAACCCCCAACTACTTCATTAAATGCTCTAAACTGATTCGTTTGACCAATACATCGGACCCAACAAAATCTTAAAAGCAAATGTCGAATCTTTCATTGGTTCCAGCAAAATTCAAGCCAACAAAATTTAATAAATGAAGTGGACCCCAGACCTGCGATCCGTTCATTGTATCAATATTAGAGAATCTTTCATTTAAACAAAACTTAAAGTAATACATCGGACCCAACAAAATCAGATACAGCGGCCCCAACAAAATCTTCATTAAATGCTCTAAACTGATTCGTTTGACCAATACATCGGACCCAACAAAATCTTAAAAGCAAATGTCGAATCTTTCATTGGTTCCAGCAAAATTCAAGCCAACCAAATTTAATAAATGAAGTGGACCCCAGACCTGCGATCCGTTGCATGTATCAATATTAGAGAATCTTTCATTTAAACAAAACTTAAAGCTATACATCGGATAGAAAGTGGACCCCGTTGAGAGCACATGTTTGGGCGGGAAAAGTGGCTGGCTTCCCACTTCGTTTTGTATATAGAAAGATATATTCTTCAACTCGACTATGACCCGACTGGAACTACGATTTTTTCACACGAGACTAGATATAAGTCGAACTCAAGTTGAACTTGCTCTATTTGCCTATCTGCATCCTGCACCATCTAATAACTTAAATATGGATATCGTTGATATGAAAAGAATGTCTAAACTCGTCAATATGGTTTTTCCTACATTCCAACATCGTCAATAAAATCACTCATCATATTTTTTCGCGTATAAATTTAGTGAAACCTTAATTATGAATGTTTCAAAATAAGTATAATATTCAATGATTTTTTTCACGAATCATTTTCCTGTTATAAGAAATGTTTTGTTTGATTTTTTTTAGAATACTTATGAAATTTAAAAAAACACATTTCAATGTTAAAAAAGTATAAACTTCATTATATATACATTTTGTCCACTTTTTTAGATAATAATAAATAAATTGGTTTTAAGTAAAGTTTGGTTATTTGTAGGCACATCATGAATTAAAAATTTATGTTTCATGTATTTTTGGGCCTACAAAACTCCAGTAGTTGAAACGTCATTTTCTTATTTAAACTTTATATATGCAGTATTTGTGTCATATAAAAAGTTATGAGAAATATGTATTTTTGATATTTTTTTAAAATTTGGAAGAAAAATAAAAAAAAAATATTTTTGAGTGGAAAAATAAGAAATCATAACCTTAAAAAGAGTTCTTTTATTTGGGGTGACATGCAGCCTGATTCTCCCGCCCTTTTCCCGCCCTTATTTGGCTAGCAAGTAGCAACAAGCTACCCCTCTAGGCCTCTATATTTTAGCCCCCCTCCATTTTAAACCGTTCTATGCTCCCCGATTCCAGTAATTAGTAGTTCAAAATGTATCATTTTTGCACCTAAGTTTTACTGTTTTACCCGCACATGATTTGTTGAGAGCAATTTAGTTCGGGTTATGCTACAAGCCTTTAAGTACATACAAGCCTTTAAGTACATACACTCTTCCAGGAATGTGGCAGCATTATACGAAGTATTAATCACATCACTTTTAGAGGGTGTTTGGAACTGATTCTAATTCTGCTTCTTTTTTAAAGCAGAAGCAGAAGCAGAATCGGAATCAGTTTTCAGAAGCTGATACCCCCCAGCTTCTAAAAAAACTGATTCTGAGAGTAAATTAGAGTACCAGAAGTGCTTCTGGAATTTCACCCAAACACTCCAGCTTTTGCTTCTGCTCTCTGAAGGAGCAGAATCAGTTTTGAGAATCAGATCCAAACACCCCCTTAATTTACATCAAATGTGACTGGTCAAGTAGAATAGTCACATCACTCATTTGTAATTTTTTTATAAGTTTGTTGTACTTGTGACATTTTCCATTTTGATCACCCGCTTCTATTGTGTTGTCATGTGGAGTGTCAATTAGTTTTTGTTTTTCAATTGATATAACTTTTTAATTTATTATTCAATTTTTCAAAAGATATACGGGATATCAATTTTTTATTTTTTTATGATCTTTCCAGTGATCATTCCCCCCGACCTAAACACCTTAATTCAACAGCCAACTAAATTCCATCAAAGTAAACAGATGGCAAAGTTCAAAACTTCATATAAGAAGAGACTTACAAGTATAAATCTCAAATATGTTGTTAACCCAAGATAACATAAACATAACACTCAAAAGCGGATTTGAAAACTTAAGATCTTGATTTTTCTTTTTTTCTCCTTGAATAAAGCTAGTAAGGAGACACAAGAAACCTTCACAACCTTGAATCTGACATCGGGAATATCTCCCAAAACGTGGCTCTTAGCTTCCTGCCAAATCCCACACCTCGTCATTTTCCTCGATACAGTTCAAGCAACCATCATTAGGAACAAAAGCAACAATCTTCGGGTTTTTTCTTAAAACACGGGAAAAGTGAACATGGAAGGCAAAAACACGGGAAAAAATATGGGATTTCTAAGAATACGAAATTCGGAAACACATCTTCGATTAGGGTTAACTATGTCCATTCGGAAACCCATGTTCCGAAACATTTTTTTTTTACTTTTTTTAATCCATTCAGAAACACATGTTCCGAAACATTTTTTTTATACTTTTTTTTAATCCATTCGGAAGATGCTTTTCCAAATCAACTTTCTTTAATTTTTTGTTATCCTATTTGGATCATGAAGTTCCAAATGCTACTTTAATTTTTATTTTTATTTTAGTCATACAACTTAAATTGATATAAACCTATTTTAAATTAATAAATAAATTGGACCCAATTTCCCAAATGTGATGTCCGAATTAGTGGGGTTGGCTTTTTATTCATTTGGATTTCCAACTTCCGAATTGGAAGTGGCATTTTAAAAAAATAATCAGCTCTCATTCGGAATAGGAAGTTCCGAATCAAAATGTCAGGCACCCTAATTCATTCGGAATTGTGTATTCACCTATTCCGAATCCCGTCTTTTTGCATCGCTTGTTCAAAACCCCCATCTTTTTGTCATTCCCTCACAATCTTCTTCCCATTTTTAATTAGTTCAAAACTTTCGAACAGCGGAATTTGGTTGTTTTGCCTCAATACCTATCTTCTCAAGAACTATTCCTTTAGCATGGGATGAACCAGCAAGTGGTTTGTTCCATTCATTCCCAAGGTTAGGTTTCTTGTAAGCCCTGTCAACCCACCTTTCCTTCCGACGATGGGTCTTTAATTTGCATGTCGCTCCCATACCACGTGTCTTCCCTATGTTTGATGAATGAAGGTGACTTCGGCTTCGAGCAAGGAAGGGCTTGAGTCGGTGGAGAACTGGAGATGATGAGAGGAAGCCACGTGAATAAGCCCTCCCAATGGTTCAATATTGCATATATTTTTTTGAAGAACTCCGGCTACAAAAGGATATTTAGGCAGGGCCGGTCCTAGAGGGAGGGCAGCAGGGGTGACCTCCCTAGGCTCGAAAAAAAGTAGAAAGAAAATTAGGCCCAAGTTTTTTATTTATAATTTCAATTAATTAATTAGGCCTAATGTGTAATTTTTGTTGACAATTTGAAAATTTTAAAACATAAGTAAAAAGTCTTGAATGAAGCTAGACAAGTTTTAAAAAATAATGTAAATTTAGTTTTTATTTTTAAATAGAGTTGGTTGTCAGTCAACACATTTGTGGTTGAATCAAGAAAAATACGTCTTTTCATATCTTTTTAGCCTTTAAAACTTTATTCTTTTTTATTACAAAATTACTCATTTATTGATCCAAAAAGGTGGAATCTCCCACCCCAGGAGCCCCCCCACCCCGACCCGACAGGATGGTGGGGAGGTTAGTCACGGTGACTCAGTCAGCAGAATGGCAGTAGGCCCATACACTCGTGCGCACCAGAGGCCCAGTCTTATTTCAGGTTCTGTGACCTTCACCCGGTCGCTGCGGGGATTCGAACCTTGGTCCATTGATCCAAGTCTCCCACCACTCGACCAACTGAGCTACCCGTGCGGGTCAAAATTACTCATTTATATTATTATCTTGGGACCGCCAATGCCTCCCAATTCTCAAACATCCTCCCAATTATCTATTATGACTCAAAAAACTTAATGGATTAGCGATTTTAAACATTTCACATGTGATCTTGGAAAATATTGATTATAAAGCAATTATTGATGATTTTACTTCACAACGTTTTTGTCACGCCCCGGACCTATCCGGACACGTCAACAATCCGCCGTACAATATGAATAGTCAACCGCAGTCTAACTCATCCATATTATACAAAGCGTCTCGAATATCATTCACACATTAGTCATCCATAAACATACATAATAAGTAATTGAATACGCAACGGAAATCATAGTTTGAAAACAAGTGTCACACGGGGCAAACACGAGCACGCAGGCTCCATAATGAAAAACATTATCCATGAGCATGTTTAAATTGTTTAAAAACGGAATGGAGGAAGCACGAACCAAGTCTTCCCTCCGAGATGATCGTCCGATCAACAAGCACAAGTAGCAAGCTCTAGCCTCGACCTAAAATGGTGGTGGGACGCCCCCCCCCCCCCCCCCCCCCCCCCCGAAAGGGGGTCAGTACTCTATATGGCTATAAAGTACTGGTGTGGATGACATCTAATAGATATACAACAAGTATTTCAAATA